AGTGTAAGTATCATCTTCTTCCATTATGATCTTAACACTTTAAGAGACAAAACAAGAGATAGTATGGAGAGTAGAGTACTTCATAGAAAATGATCAAGAGAAAAAAGAAGCTAGTTTCCAAGTATTTAACTCATTTTGACTAGTCTTTAACCCACGAGTCTTAGCACTTTAAGACTTGTGCCTTTTGATGTAAAATAGCCATGCTTCTTAAGCATGACATGAGTATTAAACAAATCAAAGAAAACTATCCCTTTTCCCATCTTTGTGTTACAATTTTAAAGAAGAAAACAATGAATATTTTTATATAAAACTTTTCCATATTTTATAACTTAAACACATACACACACAAACACACACACACACACACACATATATATATATATATATATATATATATATATATGTGTGTGTGTGTGTGTGTGTGTGTGTGTGGGTGTCTGTATGTGTGTGTATGTATGGGTGTGTGTGTGTATATATATATATATATATATATATATATATATATATATATTATATATATATAAGACAAAAACCTCTTTAAGAAAGTACATGCTATAATAAATCATACCTTATGATATATTTGATAATTAAAATTGCAAATTAATATTTTCATGAAATAAATAATTTCCAATTAATTACAAGAGTTATAAATATTTATCAAAAATTAAACTCTTAAAATAATATATGTGAATCAAGATTTTGTTAGTATGGTCCTTTAGGATCATATATTATCTAGGAAACACCATTCTATAATGATTATTAAGCATATAGATCTTTCACTCAGGTAGAATTATGTATCCGATTGTTTATCTTATTTAATAATTACGTATGATTATGCATTCATAAGCCCATCATCAATATTAGTGGTAGCATTGGTATGGTTGTGGGACGGATGAGAGTCAGTGATTGTATGATGGTTCAGAACCAATGATCGTAAGATGGTTGAGAGCAGGTAATGATCTGATGACAGGGTACCTATGGTTGGTATGTATGTTGGTATCTCATGCTTGATTAGAGTGATGATGTATTAACTGAAGCCAAGATCCTTTGTTTATATATATATATATATATATATATATATATATATATATATATTATATATATATATATATATATATATATATATATATATATATATATATGTATGGTGGAATATATGGTATACTATGGAACTCACTAATCTTTATGCTTATATTGTTAAGTAAATTTTTTTTAGGTTGTTCGAGTAAAGGGCACAACAGGATTGTACATTCTCCTCAAAGTTATTCTGCTATCCAACTTCCGTTGGTTTTGTAATTTACTTTTGTTTAAACTTTGTGCTTTCAACGAAAAGGAATATTACAATAAGTTTTCAGAAATGAGTTTTTAATGTATAATCTAGTTTTTAAAAAGAATTTTTTGGTTTGAAATTTGGAATGTTAGATATCGGACGTTTTTTTAAAACAGGTTAAAATATACCCATCAAATTGCATGTGCATTACATATGAGGATACTTTAGTGTTTTCGTTACCATGTTTTTCTTTTATTTGACTACTGTCACTATCAACTATCATTACCTTTCGCATCATTAGTCATGTTTGTTACCATATTTTTCTTCCTCCCGTGTGTGTGTGTGTGTGTATATATATATATATATATATATATATATATATATATATATATATAGACACACACACACACGATTTATTAAACCCATTAAAACTCTTTTTCTAATTCATCCAACTACCTAACTTTAGATATTAATTTCTCATTCACCTTGATTTCATTTTGAACGTGTGATATATACCAAAACGAAGGTATCATAAATAAAACATACAAATATATCAACCTTTATTCATTTTGATAATGCTAAGGATTTGAAAATTTGTTTATGAAATTGGAAAAAATCCATTTTTAAAAATTGGCTAAACCAATTTTCTAACCCCCCCCCCCCCCCCCCCCCCTACAAATAGGTGTGTTGGATTCTTTTCAAGGTTTTAGTAGAAGTATCTACAATTTGTTCTTAAGAGTTAGTCTTTACAACCTTTGGTAATACAATATGATATTTTTTCGTAGGTTCATATTAATCCAATCTTAATATGCTTGGCCCTTTCGTCTAAAAATGGGTTTAAAGACCACAATCGCGAAGATGTTATCGCATAAAAATTCAACATGTAACTGATAATTTAAATTTTCGTATCTCAAAAAGCTTTATGTTCCACAAACTTCACATGTAACGGAAGCTACAACATATTATTTGGACTATATGGAAGATGTATAAATAATGGTCTATTTCTTTATGTGGACTTGGCATCTTGGCGATGAGGGTGAGTACACAGTGGCTTCGCTTAGAGAAGCGTTGGATGTTGGGTCGCTGCCGGCAGTGGTTATGAAATGGAACAGATGTTCCTATAAAAGTAAATATTCTAATTTGGAGAATAACATTGGATAGATTTCCTACGAGGCTAAATTTGTCTCGCAGAGGAATTACTGATATACCATCATTCAGATGTTTGATATGTGATGATCAATTGGAGTCTTAATGATCACGTGTTCTTTCAATGTGAGATTGCAAAACAGGTTTGGTCTCGGATTGTTATGTGGCTGGGATTCCCAAACCCGTCTTTCATGATGATTAAGGAAGCTCAATAATGGGTGCATGGCCTGCATGTGAGACAAGACAAGAAGGAGACAAGACAAGAAGGAGGTGGTGGTAATGGTTCTGATGACAGGAATGTGGGTTATTTGGTGCTTCAGAAATGGTTTAATCTTGCAGACTAAGAAGTACAGAAAGGATATGTTAGTTGATTTCATTGTTTTGTATTCGTTTAGTTGGTTTTTTCGAGAAACAAAAAGGTTGCTAGAGTTGGAACTCATGGCTCCAACATCTTATGAACTTGTAATGTTTGTTGTCTTAGGCTAGTTTCTTGCTATACCTTAAGTTTTTTTTTTTTTATTTTTTTTATTTTATATATATATATATATATATATATATATATATATATATATATATATATATATATATATATATATATATATATATATATATATATATCTTATGTCGTTCAAAAAAAAATGATCTATTTCTTTCTCTTTCAAGAGATTAATGACTTTAATTCCACATACCAAACATAAACTTGTAACTGACCTTCTAATGCTAACACATTCCCCCATTAGCATTTATGTATGCCGCTAACCTCAAGCTAAAAGACTTGTTAATATTGATAGGATTACATTTGAAGTACCTTAGTATTCAAGTGGCTAAATTTAAATGCGACTTCCATGAAGCATGCTTAAACTGGCTCAATGTTTGGATAACAAATGAGATTGGCTGAGTAATGTCAAATAAATGACTTTTCTAATTAACTTTTGATAACCAGTTAAAACATTAAAAGACTATTATGCACACCAAGTCCCTTGTTGCTAACGACAATGAACATATCTAATAGGTTTATGCGGTGTTAACATGCTTACACCCAAGTCCATACTCATAATTCTAACGCACAATTTTTTTACACATACAATCCATATATTAGTATCGATCATTTCAATAACAAGAAAGAACTTTAAAACACCTAAATTAATTTAAAATTTTTAAAATCTATTTTTACCATCTTTTTTTCTATAGGACTTCTAGATTAATATGATTACAAAAACTATAACAAAATAATCATCTTCAAGGCAAAGTAGACAATGAGTAATTATTTACAATTTGACTAAAGCCAAAGTTGATTAAGAAAGATGTTAACTTTTTATTTCAATTTTTTAATGTTTTTTTAAGTTGTAGAGAGATCTGAATGATCTACACGTTTATATATTTCTATTTACCGGTTGTATAAAACTTGGGTGTTACATTAAAACTATAACACAAATGGCATTTTAGTCATTTCACATTGGCAGGGGGACAAAAACCGCAACAACCTCCATGCTTAATGGACCCCTTATAAATAAAAAGTTCTGACAGAAACTGCAATGTTTTAACAACCGTAAGGACCATTTCTGTAACTTGCGATAAAAATACGATAACATTTTTTGTAAAAGAATAATTAAAAGAGGAAATATCATAAAAGCCCCTCCATAGCAAGGTAAAACATTCTCTCTCACCTCTCTCGCTATCTCCCTTTTCTATCTCGTTGACTTGCCGTTTACCAGCGTTGGTTCTGCAGTTTTCACTCGTCGTCCTCCTCGTCTCCATTTGATCTTCTGCAATTCTCGCTGTTTCAGGCCTCACCGTAGTTCTGTAGGCAGGTAAAGTCACATTCTTACAAGTTAGTTTCACATCGTATAGACTTTTGTGATTAAAAGCTCAGAAGTTGTGTAATTTGTGAGGTTCAAATTCATATTATATGGATAGACAAATTCAAATTTGAAAAGATTGTTCTTGCTAATATTGGGGATCTATAAACAATAACTATGTCAAGAAACTTATTCTTTCTTATGTTTGGATCTTTTAATTGTTTGTTCATATCTATTGAAAGTTTGGAAATTGCCTATATGTTCTGCAGTTCCTTTCATATGATGTAATAATGGATATTTTAGTTGTTTCCAGAATGGTTTAGTTTAATTGAATACATTGGTTCGATAATTTCTTGCACCGAACTTAACTGGAAAAACAGGTTAATCAATTTAATTAACCGAGTAATTAAGCAGTTTTGAAACAATTCCCATCTCAATATTATTATGATACTATATCAATACATAGCTGTATATATGCTGGTTATTTCTGAAGTTTATTGAATTCACATGGAAAAGTTTGCAGGTGCATATGTATTGTTATTTAAACACTTAAAGTTTTTTATTATGTAGAATATATCATTGTCAAGGTTTAAATTGTTTTGATGAGACTTAAGTTATATAAGTTAGTAATAACTTGATTTTTTTTTGTAGAGTTTTTATGTATGGGATCTTGAGATTGAGGCGCAATTGAGGAAAGTGTGGGATTCAAAAGCTTCAGAACACAACACTTATTGATATACACAAAGTCGTGGGAAATGTGAAAGGTCATCAACCAATAACTCATAATGGTTGTTCTCTCTGAATTTTCTGGAGGATCTTCATCTTCTTCATCAACTCATGATCATAGATATGATGTATTTTTAAATTTCAGAGGTGTTGACACTCGTAAGAGTTTCACTAATCACCTTTATAATGCCCTCATTCATGCCAATATCACCACCTTCTTGGATGATGAAGAGATTGAAACTGGGGAAGATCTGAAACCAGATTTGGAGAGTGCCATTAAAGCATCTAGAGCTTCTGTTGTCATTTTGTCTGAAAATTATGCTATTTCCACCTGGTGTCTTGATGAACTAGTATTGATCCTTGAGCAACGTATGAAATCAAATCATGTTGTAATCCCCATCTTTTATCATATTGAGCCCACCCATGTCAGGAACCAAGAAAATAGCTTTGGAGATGCAATGGCTAAGCATAGACAAAAGATGGAAGCAGAGACAAATTCAAATAAAAGAAGTAAATTGGCTCAAAAGATGGAAAAATGGTATAAAGCGCTCGTAGAAGTTGCTGGTTTAAAAGGGAAGGATGCAAATGGAAGGTAACCACTCTCTTATCCATATTTCCATACTCCTTTATTATAGTTTAATTAGTGAATGAAGATTGAAGATTGTCTTCTCCTTATGCATTTCAACACATCCTTCATATTCATC